TCCATCAACTAAAATAATGGCATAAAAGTGTGATGAATTTTATGCTGATTTGGAAGAAGCCATTGGCAAGGTACCACACAACGATATGATAGTACTATTAGGTGATTTCAATGCTAGAATCTGGCTAGTTCAACATCAAACTGCTCCTAAAAGCGTTGGTTCTTTTACTGTTGGTTTCGAAAATGAAAATGGAATTAGACTTGTTGATCTCTGTCTGACAAACAATTTGGCCATTACAAACACCTTCTTTCAACACAAATTCGTCCACCAAACCTCATGGATGCATCCGGGAAACAAACAGTCGCATAGGTTGGATTATACTGTTGTGAATAAGAAATTCCGATCCAGAATCAAAGATCCAACGTGCTATCGAAGACCTGCTGACGGAATCGGTACTGATCATCATCTGATGAGGAGCAAAATTAAATTACACTTCAAAGCTAGAAGGAAAAACAAACCCAACAAACAGCTACAACCAGACAGTTCAAAGCTACAAGACAAATCAATATTAAGATAAGTCCAAAATGATATTACAAGCAAATTTCAGCAATTGGAACACAATGACAATAGCATCACCAGAAAGTATCAAGTATTCGCTCAATCTATCACCGAAGTTGCGAAAACATATTTTTTTTTTTTGACATATAGATTTATTGTCCCTGTAATAATAAGGTTGACAATGTGATGTTTAAAAAAAAAAAATAAATAAATAAATAAACTTTAAGAAATTCATAGCAACAATAACAATAACGCGAACAGAGAAAAGAAAAACATATGATGATAAAATAATAACATTAACAGAAAAGTAAGAGTGAAGTAAAGGTGAAAAACTTAAAAACATAGTAACAATAAACAATGGCGACATCTTTTATACGTTATACATACAGTGAGGTTCGAAATAACAATACTATGGTATCACTCTAGATGATATACATATGTATATATATATGTGTGTTCAGGTGGGAAAAAAATGACATGTGTAGTATTACGGTTTATATTTATATATTTAATTTTCGATTTACAATGTAACAATTGTTGTTTCCTGCATCAGATATTTATAGATGAAGGTATGTATAGGGAAAGATGAATGTTTGAAGTACCCATATTGTTGAGCGTGAATCGTTAAAAAGTTTATCATATCTATTTTCGAATGTTGAGCTCTTTCAGATAATCTAATCAAAAATTTGCTATTTTTTCGCATACCCATGGATAGATACCAGCATTTTTGTGGGGTTTTCGATGCTAGATATGCAGTAAAAGTAAGTTGATATTGGTGAGCTTCAGCTGATGTCTCAAGGTGTTTGTTAAACTTTAACCAATATTTATATAAATAGTCATTTATTGTGTATTCTTTAGTTAACGTGTAGACAGTTAGGTCTTCCCAACGCTTCAAATTGTGTGTTATACGGAGCCCTGTACAGTAAACATGCTCAATTAATGTTTGTTGGTTTTCGGTATAAAAAAACCAGCACGAGAATAACCAAATTATATGCGGAAGCGCATAGGCAAAAAATAATTTTCTTCGTATATGTATTAGAGATATAGGTATTTTATTAAATATAATGCGTAGGGCATGATATATTTTTCTAATTATTTGAAGACGTTTTATTATATAGATACCCCATCCTAGTTTTGTTGTTATATCGACTCCTAGATATTTGAAACGTTTTACAAATTCGATTGGTAAATCTTTATATTTTATTTTAGGATATGGTGGTGCTACAACATCGTGTACTAGCAGTGCTTTTGTTTTGTTTATATTGACAGGAAGTATGTTATCCTCGGCATATTTTGCTAGAATTCTCATTGCAATCTCAGCTTGTCTTTCAAGTTCAGCAATATTTCTGGAAAATGTATTCTCAAGTGCACCAGAGATAATGATAGCAAGGTCATCCGCAAATAGATGGCATACTAAATTCATGAAGTGTGAGGGAAGGAAATGAACGTGTAAGCGAAAAAGAGTAGCTGCCAAAACAGAACCTTGAGGAGTGCCAACGAATAAGTTAATAACACGTGAAACTGCATTTCCGACATGAATGGACATTGTTCTACCGTTTAACCATGAAAAAATCCATCTTAGTAGTGGTGGTGGAAATTCGAGCTTAAGAAGTGTTTTGAGGAGGGCAGGATGCCACATTCTATCAAAAGCTGACATAAAATCTACGAAAATTACTAAGGATGGTCTGTTGTTTGCTGCTGTTGTTAATCTGAGATCCTCTACTAGTGATAGAATGCGGGTTTGTAAACGCCTTTCGGAAGTAAATCCGGATTGTTCGTCTATAAAGATACCTTTTTCTCTACACCATTTAAGTATACGATTATGTATTATTCTTTCAAAGCATTTACCAAAGTTCGAGAGGAGTGAGATGGGTCTGAGCTTGTTAACTGCTGGATACATTCCATCCTTTGAGAGACAGATTGTTTTCGCGTGTTTGCTATTCAGAAGTACTCCGCCCGTCTCAGCAATTTTGTTAAAACAAACAGTAATTATTTGTAAATATTCTAATGGTATTTGATGAAGTAAGAAAGCTGATAGTCCTTCTGTATCTGTTGATTTCTTTTTTTGAGCACGTTTCCAATTTTTTTCTACTTCGGCTAATGTAATTTTTTCTAGGGGTATATTAGGTTGTTGTGTAAAAACTTCATATTCTTTCATTGCATCTACATGGCTTATATTATTAGGATCAATGATAGGTGTTTCGAAATGTTTTTCATAATAATTAGCAAGTGTGTCAGCTATTAATTGATGATCTTTTATTATACCGTTGTTTGTGGTAAGACCCTTAAAGGAAGGTGCATATGGGTGAAATGTTGAATGCACATATTTCCATATGTTATTTCCATGTGATATGAAAGAGTTTCTTTTTTCTATTTTTTCCTGTAAGAATAGACTTTTTTCATTAATATATAGACTTTTCCAGTATAAATAATCTTCAAGATTTCTTTGTTGTTTAGATCTTCTGTATTTTCTTCTTGCTTTATTTAGATTTCTTGCTAGCTGCACAAGATATAGTGGCCACGGTGGTCGATATTTCTTTACTGGTAAGTATTCACTCACTCTGTCCCATGTAGAAGAAAGAAAAGATGAGAAAAGATTGAGAAAAACGTCTGCATCGAAATTGTAAACGAGTGAGTTGAAATATGGGAAAATAGATTTGAGAAAAAATGCAAACACTTTCCAATTTGTTTTTCTGAAATAATTAGTAACACCTGTTGAAAATGGTGATTGTACCAATACAGGATAGTGATCGGATGTCCCTTCCTTTATTACTTCAGCTTTCCACCCATCAGCATTGTGGGTAATTCCGAAGTCAATTACCGCAGATGATCTTTTTGATGTTGGTTGATTTGGGTAAATCATCTCACATCCTGTATTGTCAAGCCAATTTCTCAGTTGTACTCCACTAGCATTATTATTATTACAAAGCCAATCAGTATGTTTTGCGTTATAGTCTCCAAATATATAAAATGATTTATCTACGTATGTATCGAAAATAGTTTGAGGGATAGGTTTACCAGGGGGTATATAAACGGCGCCCAATAGAATTGGTTTTGGTAGTATGTCTAACTCAACGAGTAGAAAGTCATTTTCTTGAGTAATTAATTTGGTTTTAAGTGTTTTATGAAATAATATTGCCACCCCACCAAAGGCATTGGTACCTTCCTGACTAATCCAATAGTAGTCGGTAATTTTTGGTAAATGTTTTATTTTTGACCCCACACCAGTTAAAATTAATATTTGAGGCGTATAAGTTGCTAGGAGAATATCAAGATCAGCAATATGAGTACTTAAACATTGACAATTGTACAATATAATAGAGAGATTTTCGTCGGATCCTAAGGGTCTGGCTTTATGCCATTGTTTGGAGATACTAGATACAGAAACTTTACAATTCCACTCATTTATCATATCGGTTAACATAGTTTTTTCAGCTGTAGTACCATCAAAAGAGTCGGTTATAATCTTATTTACAATCGGTGAGGAATAGTGAAAACTAAGATTCATTGTTTGATTGTTCGTTTGTGTTCATACCTCTCAACAACAAATCGTTTTGTTTATCCATGAGTGTTTTGAGTTTCTGTTGATTGTCAGTTAGTAAGTATAATCGATTATTGAGCGAAGATATTGTTTCATTGATTGTGCCGTATATTATTTCTTTTCGTTGACGTTCATTTTCATCTGTATCAAATTTGTTGGTTTCCTTCACAGCATGATTTATTGTTTGAATTGACTGTATAACTGGTGGTAAAATTTCCGATAAGGTTGTGTATATGTCGACTATAGCTTCAGCTTGTGTTTTAAATTGTAGATTGATTAGTTGCCATCCTTGGGCGAGTTTTTGCATCTGTGTTTCATGTTCCATTTTCCATTTTTTGACTTCTAATTCATTTTGTTGTTTTAGGTTGTATAATTCTTCTTGTATTTGTTTCAACTCGATGTTCCATATTGGCATTGAATTTATTGTTGTTGATGGTAATGATAAATTCGAACTTAATCTTGGCCATACGTTAAAGTCGTGTTGATTATTATTATGATAAAACTCTTTATATTGAACTTGCGATTGATGTATGCCAGCATTGCTGCTCATCAAGGCTTTTTCGCCTTTACGATCGCGGTACTGTTGTGGAATATAAAATTGAATGTGTGGTGGTAATAAATGTTTATTTTCTTTTAATTTATTGAGTAGGTTTTGTCTAAATTTAGATATCGTTTTGCATTTGAAATTTACCGCTTCATGGTTTTCACCGCAATGGTGACATTTAATGAAACAGTTTTTATGATCCGCACCATCGTGTCTGTCGTTGCCGCACCTTTTACACATTTCAATTGTTGATTTGCAGTACTTTTTGACATGACCTGGAGAATTACATTTATTGCATATAAGAATTCTTGGTGATGGTAAATATTCATCTACATCGTATAAATGACCACGTAATGCAAACTTTCCACTATTTAATGTGCTTGTGCATTCATCTTGTGACAATAAATCAATACGTATATGACGTGAACGATAAGTCATTGTGCCCATCATTTCTTCTATTGTATAAACACTTTTCAATTTCTCCTTTACATGTACTTGAATATCCTCAAATTTAATTGTATTATCAATAAATTTCAATATGATTGCGTTGCGTGGTGGTAACTTTGTAGGCAGTACAGGTGTTAGTTTTATGTTATTTATTTCTTTAGGATAGTTATTAATGTTGCACATGTATATAAATAATTCGATGTATTTTGTGTAACATACGAGAGATCCTGTTCCATCAATAACATAATGATCAAAACCAAGTGGTTGGTTGAAACGTGTATTCATTTTTTTGAAATTTTGTTCGATATATTTGAGAAATTCTTTGATTATACTTGTACCATCTTCATGTGTTGTCAATTGTGGATCACACAGAATTTTTAATGGTGGAAATTTATCTTCAACTGCAAATTTTAATGCTTGTCGAGATACATAAAATTCCTTATTTTCGTTTGTAAGTTGATCGTCACTTAAATTTTGATTTTCTCTGTTTGTTTGTTTATGAGCGAAGTTAGTATCCAAATATTGTATATCATTTTCATTATTTGGTTGATGTTTTTCTAAGTTTGACAGTTGATATTTGACACTTCTTTCGTTCTTTTCTTCTTCATATTGTGTGTGTGTGTGACGTGTTATTTTGTTTTCTGTTCTACCATATCCATGCGATGACGATGTTATTGTTCTACCATGAACAAAGGAACCAATTCTTGGTGCTTTGTTTCCTCTTTTGTTTGATTTTCTTTGATGTTGCCATTCCAAGTCATCAATATTTTGATTTTCAATTTCAGGATTTTCATCAGAGTCTGGTTGATTTTCATCCATCTTGCTTTCGGTTCTTTTTAGTGATGTTTTAGTATTGTTTTTGTTGTTGTTTGTCGTGGATGTATGTTTCATTTGTTCGTAAAGTTGTTGTATGTTTTCATGGTCACACATATGATCCTTTTCATTTTTGTTCATATTTGAATAGTGATAGTAATCACTCATTTGTTGGTTAGTGTGATTAATAGATATTCTTGGATAATTATGAATAATTATCGTGAATATCTTAATTATGGATGACACGAGCTATCGCACTATATGTGTGCTAGCGGAGGAGGAGGAACGATGAAGCGTCCACCTTCAGCGTGTAAAAAAGAGAAGTGAGTTACTTTGTTCTTTTGTTTTACATCTTATTAACACATTGAAGACGATATGAGTATTGTTTTTTTATAATTCCTGAAAGATTCCATTTCTGTGTTCATGACAGTTGTAATACTTCAAATCAGCTTTTGTTAATGTTTCTCTTATAGATATGAGCTATGAATATTCCTTTATCAGTGGTAAAAGAATCAGCTCTTTTGGTCAATATATGGCAGAGATATTCAATTTTTTCTGTGCTAAAGAGGCTTTTGGGCCAGCATGTAGTGGGTCCCATCAGTGGAACCCATCGGGTTGAATGTGTTAATTCCAACACATCATGAACTATTATTACTTTTTATACGTGAAATGGAAAAAATTCAGATTTGTTAATGAAAATCTGAAGGTAACAAGTCAATATTCTACATGAAAGTATGCGAGTTTGTAGGAATATATTCGATTCTTCTCTTTTAAATTTGCTGAATAGCATCACTATAAACTTATTTTTCATTTCTTCAGTTTCATTAAGGTGATAATGTTAAATATAAGATGTATTTCAAGTTATCTTAGATTGATGAATTAACAAGCATCTATTGGATAAACTGTTATTGTAATTCCGACGATTGAAATAATATGATTATTTTCCATAACAAATCGTGCATCTATTACTTACTGTTCGACCAGAACTTTTGACATACATTTCATAATCATGCGATTATAATCATTCTTTTCATCAATCATATTATGGAATTAACAGATATTTCGTGAATTATATATTGTAGGATATAATAAGATTACCGTTTTAAAAGTAGACTTATTTTGTAAATTCTGAAAATTTATTAACATAGTATCAAATACAGCAACAGCTAAGTTAGTCGCATGGACTTCAATAGAATGACATATTCTTCTGTTTCATGAGACATAGGTATTAACACATTCAACCTGATGGGACCCACTACATGGTGGCCCAAAAGCCTCTTTAGCACAGAAAAAA